GATCCCGCGTGTTGCAGCGACGCAGCAGGTCGGCTGCGATTGCCCGTACCACATCGCCCCGCACGCCGCCCCCTCCTCCTCCCCCACCCTCGCCACCGTTGCCGCCCACCGCTTCCACCACAACCGCTCTCGCGCCAGCCGAGGAGATACGCCGGCTGATGGGGGGCGCGGCGCGTGTGGCTGCAAGGCAGAGCCTATCGAGCAGCTCGCCGGTCTTGGGCGCACCCACCTGTTTAGAGGCCCAGATCATGAAAAGGGATCCTCACGCTGTGATCAGAAATATGTCTCAGACGCACCATTCGGGCGATGCTGCGCGGCGGCGGGGCGGGCCGAGTCGGCTGCAGCGCAGGTGCGGCGGCGCTCGCCCGGCAGCGGCCGGGAGCCTTTCGGCAGTCGCGCAGCGGCTCTGCAGAGTCGACGTGATGCCTGAGCCGCAGCTAGGTGTGAGGGGGTGCTCTGGAGTCTGATGGGGATGGTATCGGGCAGGGCGCCAAACGCAGTGCCCTTGCCTGAGCCCGGCTCGGTCACCATGCTTCTGACGCGAGACGGAGCTGGCGTCGACCGACAGCATCTCGTAGCCATATGAGCGCAGGAACTCGGCGAGCCTGCCGAGGCACTGGCGAGATAAGGAGATGTGTAGGTGCTGTGTGCGGCGTCGAAGGGCGGTGGGGAGGCGGGCGCACCGGAGGAAGCGGAGGCTGGTCAGGTGGGTGGACTCGAAGACGACGCGGGCAGGGCGCACGAGGGCAAAAGGGAACTGGTATAAGGCCGCGTCGTCGTGTCCCTCCGCATCGACCGCCTCACATGCCACGCGATTGTTCTGAGCATGACTCGCTCGAACGCACCCATGCCCCCTCTCATTGATCTCCCGGCTAGCCCTCACCAAAAGCGAGAGCGCCGCAGCGCCACCTCTCTGCGCGTGCCGCAGCTGCGGCACCAACTCGGTCTCGGCGCAGTAGCATCGCACCGGAAATGTCACTAGGTTATTGGCGATCACCTGCGTGGCGTGACACGATAGAGTGAGAGAACTAGGAGATCCACGCATGTCCCCTTCGCCCTCATCCAACCGCCTGGCGCATGCAGTTGTTTGGCAGCGGCCGGCCGAGTACCTTTGAGCACTGAGCACACTGGTTTGGCCCCACGGCAAAGTAGCGATTGTGGCGGAGCAGGTGCGACCTGACGGTGCGTCAGCAGAAGGGGGTCGAGATGAATGAGCTTGGGTCTGGTCGCGGTTTGCACAGGGTGCGCTGCACTTGGAGAGAGAGGCGATCTCAGAGACAAAGTGAGAGCCATTTCCACCGGGCGTGTTGGCGGTGAGACAGCGGGCGTCCGAGTCGTTGCTCCCCCAGTTGCCCGTGGCGTTGCTCATGTCAACCGACCACATTTTAAGCGGCGCGGCGGCGCACTGGTCGCACACGGCCGCGTTTACAAGTTCCACGTTGGGCGGCTGTGGCGTATAGGTCCTCTGCAATTGCTTGAAGATGTCTGGTATAGGCTCGAGGAGAGTTGACTTCCAGCCATGGTGCACAGCGAGAGGGCCTGGCTCTGTGTTGATGTACGATGTGGACTCGTGCTTGTTGGCGCCGATCTGGAAGAGCGATGATGCCGCCGGGTCGAGAGCCGCCATCCAGGGAGACATTGCAAAGGCTCGGTGGCCCTTGAGTTTCTTCTTTCGCGAGACGGCCTCGGCGAGCCAGGCCGTCTCCACCCGTTGCTGCTCGGTGGTATTGTACGGCCAAAGCAGCATCGAATCGCACGAGCTCGTTGAGGCCGCCTCTGCTTGCCGACGCCGCATAGAGACGAGGTCGCCAAGAGTTTTGGGCGCCCTTCTGGAGGAGCTCTCTACCTCCTGCAGCCGCCGGTGATGGCTCCGCCGCCGGAGCATTGCCTCCCAAATGCGGCACCGCAGGCCACAGGGTTGGCGTGCTGTTGCCGTCACCACCGCTGCGGTCAACAACAACATACCCGCCGGCGAACGAAGAACGTTAACTTTCCTTTTTTTCTCAGTAGTACAATATTAAGGTAGTACTTTTAGCTGACTGGGAGAAAAGGGAGGGGTGGGGGTCTCTCCCTCTCTCTCTCTCTCTCTCAGTGATTTAGCTCTTGCTTGCCTCTGTCCTTTCACACCGGGTCCAATGGTTCCGCTTTCTTTTTCTTTTTCCTTTTTAGTTCGGCAACACCGCCTGGGCGCGACGAGCCGCAGGGTCGCTGGCGTGAAGAGCAACGGCGCGACGTGTGCAGACGCGACGAGCAGCAATGGTGGGGCGAGCTGAGATGGCGCGATGAGCGTTGGCCCGCTGAGCGATGGCACGAGCACTGGCGAGGCGAACGATGGCCGCATCGTGACGGGCGGCAGGACGATCGGCGCGGCTACAACGATTGTCGATGCAGAGGCGAGCGCGACTATTACAATCGGCATGATTACTGGCACCACGATCCCAGGCTCGACCATGACCGGCGCGACCAGTACCAGCACCAGTGGCAGCCTCATCAGCACAGCAATCGCTGGAGGATCCTCAATGACGAGCGGCAGAGCCACGACGCACTAATGCGCAATGAGCGCCCCTGGTCTAGCCGCTGTGCTGACGGCAGTGGCCAGGTCGACCCTCGGAAATTGACCGCATCCATCTCCCAGGCTGGCAGCGCTGACGCATTGCTCGCGCTCTTTGCTGCCCACAGCGCGAACTTGAACCACATCCACTGCGAACCTGTGGAACAAACTGGGCAAGCAGCGCATCGAGCGGCGGCACGAGGAGCAGCTTGAGCAGCTGGTGCAGCGCACGCTGGACCTCGTTCCTTCGTGCCGTGCACGCGAGCTGTCCAACGTGTCTCACGGCGTTGCAAGGTGCGGCCTGCAAGCGAGGGTGGTGCACCCGTTGTTCGTAGTTTGGCGAAGGCGGCGGTGCGCGGCGGGCTGGCTGGCTTCAACCCTCAGAGCCTGGCCAACACGGTGTGGGCGTATGCGACGGCGGGCCACTACCACCAGGCACTGCTTGCCGCCTGTCACGCGTCATCAGCGACTCGCTCCCCAGGTTCCATCGGCGTGGAGCATCAAGCACCGCGTCCAGCGCTTCACCAATGGCAGCTCTGGCTCTCTCTTGAGCGAGGAGCAGACAGGCTGCAGCATCTCCTTTCCGTCTCACAGCGCCAGCTTTGTCGCGGTGCTATGATGGCGACCGTAGCTCAGCTGTCAGGCTTGCAGCGCTCCATCGCGGCTGCCCTCGCCACCCTCCAGCTTGGCTTCGAAGAGGAGTATCTCGAGCCGCGCACTGGCTACTCGCTCGACCTGGCGCTGCCCTCTTCACGCGTCGGCGTTGAGGTGGATGGCCCCTCTCACTTCCTCCTGCCCGATGACCGGGGCGTGCGCAAGCCCAAGGGGCAAACGCTGCTCAAGCGGCGCCTCCTCGCGGCGGCTGGCTGGAGGGTGATCAGCGTTCCTTTCTACGAGTTGGACGGCTTGACGGCCGTTGAGCGGCTAACCTACCTGGAGAGGGCGGTCGCCCCGCTGTGTAGTACTGACTGTAGCATTGCTTGATGGAGGAGCGGCCGGGGAGGGGAGGGGCAGCGGTGGCGAGGGGCGGCAGCGAGGGGACGGCAGCAAAGGCGGGTGAGGCGAGGCGCCCGCGCTCCTGCGCGGCGGCCGACTGGCGCGACTGCGCCGCCTCTCGCTCATAGTTAGCGGGTAGAAATAAATAAAAGGTGAAAGCAAATTCTGGCGAGATGGGATGCTGCGACGGTGTATCAGTCGCCTTATGCCACCGTGTTGCTAATCCAACGGTGGCATAAGGCGACGGTGTCACCTCACCCCGTCGCAAAACTGCATTGGGTCTCGAGTTCTAATCCCGCAGTTCGACTCGGCGCATAACACCCAGACGGGCATTGTCACTGGTTCGAAACCCACCTTAGCGTATCCGCCGGTACCCAAACCGGACATGCATCTCCGCACGACCCAGGAATGCAGTTCGCTTGCGACGGTGTATCAGTCGCCTTATGCCACCGTTGCTTATCCGGACCGCGGAATACAAGCAACGGTGGCTGATACACCGTCCACAATGTCCTTGTGCATGTGCATGGGCATGCACATGCACATGTGCCATGTGCATGCAGAGTGATTACATGGCAAGGGGTCCCCCGCCCTTGCCCGATCTTGGGGGGAAGGGAAC